CCCCCCCCTCCTCCGAATTACCACTGGCACACTGGTGACTGTGCAGACCAGAGACACCAGCACTGACGTCCCCTCTGACCCTGCACAAACATTATTATCCTCCTCCGTGTCCCTGCAGCATCTGAGGATCCGTATGAGCGACGATGGAGCAAAGTCTCTTTACTCTAGTGGCGGAGGAACTGAGAGCCGAGCTGCTGACTGCTCTGTGGGTGATACCTTCTATGATGACACATGTTATGAGACGTGACGCTTATGTTCAACTCAGGAGTCTGATGAGATGAGCTTGATAAAACAAGTTAAATTCATATATTACATTTATGCCACCACGTCCAGCTTCATTCTACAACATGAAGAAATTCCCATTTTAAATCAGCTTTAGTTAATACTTCAAAGTGAATTATACAGTTTTTTCAAGAAAACCTTTCTTGCTCCAACTGCGTTTAGTTTTATTATTATTATTATGTATAATAATTCATATCCTGATATTTTCCAACATATTGATGTTGACACTGATGTGGCGACAAGAAAAGTTTGTTGCAAAGGTCGAAAAATTGAGAAACTAGTGAAAATAACCATCGAAACAATATTAACTAATAATATGAGTCTAATAAAATAAAATATAAAAACATAGAAACTGCTCATGTTGTAATGTGAAACTGAGCAAATGTCGTCACACAGCAGTAAATAAATAAGCAAGTTCTCTGTGTAAAATACATTTAAAAAACACAACAGAATTATAAATAACACAAAGCAGCTTCATTTAGTTGCTGTATTTGGTTCATTTGCAACATCCACCACCAATACGACCACCACCACACCAAACCACCAACAGTAAAGTGGAGGAGGGGGGAGGACAACCAAAAACAGATGAAGGTGTCGAGACGAGATGTGAACCCATGAAACAAACGTACCAAAAACATATCAAAGAAGATGGCTGAGTCATGTCGAGGTGAGGGGGAGGCTGATCAAAAATGCAGAGGAGACTCAAACCAATGACAACCACCAAGTGAAATCAAAACCACGATGCACACGAGACCCAGAGCGTGAGAAGTGTGTGTGTGGGGGGGGGGGGAGTAGGTGGTAAATGACCAGTCACCAAGCACAGGCAGGCAGGCAGGCCACCAGAGACGATAAAGAAAATAAAGATTAGGAAAGAGGCAGGGAGACAGGAGGGGGGGATGAATAGGAAGGGGTGAGAGGAAGGGAGGAGGAGGCCTGGTGGACATTGACGTCGGGTCGTCCTTACTTCTGTTGGGGGAGTTCCAGAGCGTGGCTGAGGACTTGGACAGCCTGTTGTTAATGACAGGGTCCACCTGTCTCGGCAAGTTGACCGTGGAGGCCGAGCATCTGCCTGCACCGGAGAGAACGCAACACACAACAACTGTTCACAAGGCGGCCGAGGTGCGAGGACCGAACTCCCCCCGGGGTCCGGTTCTGGAGGCGAGCGGGGGACTCGCCAACTGGCTTCTCATTACAGTGTAAAGAGGAGGGTGGGGTTAATTTAGATCCAGACATAGGGGGGGAGAGAGGGGGAGGAACTTTGAGGAAAGCATGGGAAGGGTGTGGTAGAGTTAGACGTGAAATTTAGAGGAACTGCCTAAAGCTCTGTTTTTTTCCCCTTCACGCTGTCACGCGCGTTCGAGATCCTCTGCACTTCTGGGGGGAGAGAGGCTTGTGTTGACCTCAGGGTCTGGAAGAAGCCGTCACATGTAACAAGACGGTCTGAAAAAGGGAAATTAGCTCACAGCTCCGTTATCCCTCTGCCTCTGTGACACGTTCAAATGATGCACTGAAAACCAATTTTTTTTTGCCCAAAAAGCAGTTTTAACGTCACAATTTGCCGTTTGGCTCATCTTGCCCCTGGGTACCCCGCCCTTATGACATCAGACCCTGCACAAGCTATTTCCTTGCGTTGCACCAGTTGGAGCAGTGAGTCACAGTCTGTGCAGCGCCGCTCAACATGAGGAACTCGAGCTACAGTGAGGATGTGACATATTCCTGTGATTGTGTCCCACCCCGCCCCCGCCCCCGCCTCACACGAGACTCACTTTCTCTGCGTGACGTCTGGTTGAGTCCGCCGGCCCAGGACCACCTCTGCTGGCGGATCTCGGCCCACGTCTTCTTCGTGGACCTCTTGATAGCTGCCTCATATCTCTCCTGCAGGCGCAAACGGTCAAAAACAGTTGTTGATGATTTGACGGTTAAATGGTGAAGTTGCACGATCCCCGTGTTTCCCCTCTTTGTGCTAAACTAAGCATCTCTCATCTCAAGCTACAGACGTCTGTCTGAACCTGTCCGAGCCAAAGAGAAAACTCACAAAGCTCGACTTGAACCTGATCGAAGCCCAATGCAGTTAATTCAAGCTTTTTGTTTTCCTGATTACAGACGTCCAACAGCTGGGCTCAAATCAAACTAATGAATAAACATGTTTCCTAAAATAATTCCTTTAAATGAAATTGTGAAGGGAAGAGAACAACAGCTCACAGGTTCGTGCAACTTTAGACAAGAAGTTACTAGAAGACGTTTCCCTTCAAGAGGTCAGGAACCGCTGCAGTGATCAATAACTGGAAAACTGGATGTATGCAGCAAATAGCTGGAATCACAGCTGATAATTAAGATTGGACCAATTCCCTGTTTCCAATGGTGAAGAGAACACCACTGCCCCCTGAGTCGAACCACTGTGTATCTCCGTCACCTTGTTCTTCTCTAGTTTCAGTCTCTGTTTCTCCTCCAGCAGAGCTCGACGTTTCTCAGTCTTCAGCCGCTGCTCCTCCAGCTTCCTCCTGCGCTCCTCCAGCTGGTTCTCCCTCAGACGCCGCGCCTTCTCCTCCTTCTCCAGCCACTGGGCTTTCTTCGCCGCTGGAAGAAGAAGTCACAGTTTAGACAGACAATAATTTTGTTTCTTGTTTCACCAGGTCAATTACTACTGTGGTTAGCAACCTGGCGTGTTTGTATTAATTTTAAAAAGCAGTTTAGGGATCAGGGTTTGGTCGAAGCTTTCGATGTTTCGTCTAGAAGGAAATTTAGAAGATGAATATCTATACAAAGTTTTTTTTCAATTCATCCAGTAGATGTGGAGATGTGAGGCCACATATACAAATATTGTCTTATGGACGTTTCAAAGTTACTATCTCAACTGTAGCAGTGTATCATGACTTCAGGCTTTAGGCCTCAACCACCAACACCCAAACAGAGCGAGTGAAACCGATGGAGACTGTGTGTTTGCGACACTATGATCTCGATAACAGTAAATAAGCAGAAGTTCCCCACTGCGTTTAACAGCAGCCTCCAGCAGATCCCTGTCTCTCTGCACACTCGCTGCTGCTGCGGCTCATTTCTTCCAGGAACGATTAGACGGCGATCAATCCTCCGACATTAAAACTGTCGACATGCAGCTGCACCACAACAAACATTGACACTTTTCTCTTCTGTTGTGCACGAATTTGATTCCACAACGTATTCTTTAGCCACTGGAACAGTTGAAACAATGGAGGCTCATTGTGGAGGATGATGTGGATGAGTTACAGTCGAGGTGGTGGCATGAAATGTGAAATGTGCAGCATCTCATATTGCTGTGAGTTGCATTTCAGTGAATTGCTGTAGCTGTAGTTTCTGAGGCAGAGACGTGTTTTGAGTTTAGTTCTGCATTCTGCGGCTTATCTTCACTAATGAGCCAAAGAGGCAGACGAGCGTGAGCCTCGTCAACGCTATGAAAGCCTGTTTTCACTCCGCACTGAATCCAATTCCTGGAGAAATGCAATTATGTCTGCACATTCAAATTGTTAAGCAGAAATGAGAAATACGTGGGGTTAATGCGTGTGAATGTGCTTTTCACATTTCTCCTATTTCTCTGCAGGGACTTGAGCATTTTGTGAAAAGCTGCAGATGCATAACAACGAGGCTGATTTATTTACAATATGTTCAGATTGACTTGTTATTGAAGGGGTAAATATTTACGCCCTGTTCACACTCATGCAGATATTTTACAAACCAAACTTTTTCCTCTAACTCTCTCCTCTGGCTTCTGTGTATCTGTGCGTAAACATGTTAAACTGAGTATTTGGCAAACTATGATGTCACAGCTTACTTCACACATGCCCCTCATTGTTGCTTTGTGCGATAATGCAACAGAAAATACCAGTTTCTTCCGGTCAGCAGAAGAAAACAGCTGACATTAGCCTCAGCTACCAGCGTAGAACACGACATGGATGATAAATTACAAGCGTCTCTGACCCAGTTGTCTAACAGCTGTTGTGCAGTTAAACTCTGCATCTTACAATGATACTACATGTGCAGTAGACGAGCTATTATTCAGGCTATTAATGTGCGTTAGTATGGACGGGGACTGAAACTGGTATGGACCCAAAACGTACATAAGAACAGAGATCCTAATGTGTGAAAACGTATGCATGGAGCTTTAATTGCCACCTACCGGCCTGTTTTTGTCTAGATGGAGGTATTTTGTAAAACAGAGGGGGAAATATCCGCTTTAAAAAAATGCAATATTGCTGTTTGCAACCATGCATTCATGCTCTACATGTAAAAAAAAAAACGTAACGTTGTACCATGTAATTACACAGAAGCAGACAGCAGCAAACTAAACTTATCTGAGAGACGAAGCAGATTTCCCCGTAACTGCAGCATGGCCACATTACTGATGCTAATGAAAGCAGTAATTAAATCTAATCTGTCTGAGAGGCCTGCCCTCAGTTCGCGGTAATGACTGCTCATCTTTCACGCCAAGCGCCACAGGCTCCGAAGGACGTCTCTGCAGAGGACACGCCCACCGAGCTCAGATCTGATTGGCCGCTCGCTTTCTGGTCTTCGTCCACGGGGAGAAGCCCTGTGTTTGAAAACTTGATATGCTCTTTCAAGACTTTGGGGCGAGCAGGATATTTTAGAAGTTTAACTCTGCTGCCAAGATGTGAAACCATGATTACAGGTTTGTGACGTGCAGGGAACATAAAGTCAAAATTAAGTTTAAATGAACATGAGCAGGAACGTTTAAGTGAAAAGTGCAACAGCAGAAAGTTCACGGGGTTCACGAGGTTTCACCTGAACGACGACGACTGAAAACCAAAACTATTCGATACATGGTGGAAGATGAAATTACTGTTTGGGATGCAGCAGAGGGAAATGGAAGGAAAATGGGATTCCAGTGCAGGTTTGATGACGAGTGCTGCGAACGCTCAGGGTTTTAGTGAAGCCCCTTACCTTGCAGCTGAGTTTGCTGTTCTGAGAGCCATGCAAGGAAAAACAACAAGAGACGTCAATAACCGTCAGTCAAGAGCAGAGTGACACAAAGGAGGTTAGGGTTAGAAGAAGAAGAAAAAAGTTTGTGTAAAGTTACTGCCAAGGAATTCATGCTTTATTTTATGTAGGAAAATCCAGAGTTGATGGTCACGTCCGCATAGTTTTAATAATTTCTCACCGATATATCGGGCCCTCTCCTCCCTCCGCTCCTTGGCGAGCTTCTGTCGTTGCTCTGAGCTCATGGAATCTGTAGGGGAAAAGAAAATGCAGAGCTTTCAGTTATGACCACAGGGCAGAAAAAACCACAGAGGGATTATAGTAAAATTTCATCTGGCCTGAGGAGAAATGAGGTTCCCCCAGGGAGGAGAGAGGAGAGAGATCCCTAACCTCCATCAGCTCATTCTCTCTTTTCATCCAATCATAACCTGACACGCTCTCCATCAGCCAATCACCTGGTCACCTCCCTGCTACGTCCCGCTGGGGTCTCAGTAACAAAGTCTATTCCTCTATTCACAATAAATGTAACTTCTTTCTAATGTACTCATTTGAAATTAACTTGAACAGTTTTTTTTAATCAACTCATAAAATAGACCTTTTTTAAAATTTGACAAAATGCCAGAGGAAGGTTTAATTCAGTCATTGATTCAGTTTCAAGGTCAGTGCAGCTCCCTCTCTTCCCGCCGCTCATGTGTATCTCAGCTTTGACCATTTCATCCAGTTTTCAGTCGTCTTCCTCCGCTCTGATAACGAGCATGAATCCCGACGGGCTGTGAAAGACGCACTGGTGCAACACGAGGATTTGTGTTGCTTATCCTTCCTTAAAGCTGGCTGTGAAAAGCCACGACTGAAGAGCCGCCCACACCCACACCGATGTAAACCAGGACCCCCGGGGAGCTCGCTGAGCCTCGTCTCCTTTTGTGTTTCTTCTTCGCGCTATGTAATATGCATGCCATGTGTTCTCAACCAATCACAGCGGGCCGTGCGGCACTTCAGTCTCCATAGCAACCCCTCCCTCCCCACCTCACAGAGAGTTTCCTGCACCGCTTCGTTCTGGACGATACGCAGACGCTGTGAAGTGCGGAGGGAAATAAATCTCATTGGCCTGGAGAGTCAGTTAATGCACCAGTACACGCACCACTCCCCCCCC